GTGAACACCCAGGTACCTATAAGAGTCCACTATCTCAATGTCCACTCCCTGGATGTTCACCGGTGTCAGTGTGGTGGGTCTGCGTCTCCGGAAGTCCACCACCAACTCCTTCGTTTTCCCGGCGTTGATCAGCAGGTGGTTCTGCTGACACCAGTCTACAAAGTCCAGAGTCCACTGTCTGTACTCTGAGTCGTCCTCACCTGTGATGAGGTCGTCAGATAACGTCTCTAGGTGGCAGCGTGGGGAGTTGATGGAGAAGTCTGCAGTGTAGAGGGTGAAGAGGAACGGTGCCAGCACAGTTCCCTGGGGGGACACCGTACTGCAGACCAACGTATCAGAGACACAGCCCTGTGTCCTCACATACTGTGGACGTTCTGTGAGGTAGTCCAGTATCCACTTTGCGCTATTAACCAAAGTTTAATGCAAATCACATACAATAATGATCCAGAGAAAGGATTACCAATTTGGGCATTCATTTGCAGATGTAAATAGTCCCTAACAAATGTAATCCTGCTCTACATGGAAACCACAATGTTTTTTATTCTAACAGCGGTTGCCAGTCGACTTTTGATGAACATAGATTTAAATACTAAAGGGAAAAGTTTATCTGCTCCTTTTTAACAACGCACCATTGCTGTGACTTGTGACCTGTCAGTCATCATGAAGAAGAATTGAAAGAGTTCATTGGGAAAAACTAATTAAAATGCAAATCACGTGTAAGGTTCCTATCCCAGTGACGCATGACCTGGACCCTTTGACACTGCTGACTGACGACGCTGACATTGCTACGTGGCAGAATGAGGGGCTACCTGCTGACAGGATGTCCACGGAGAATGCTACCATTCTGACTTCTTGCCAACGCTGGCCCCTTATGGTGGACCCCCAGCTGCAGGGCATCAAGTGGATCAAAAATAAATATGGTGAAGACCTGCAAGTCATCCGCATCGGACAGCGAGGGTAAGAGCCTCATAGAAAACTGCAGTACTGAGGTTTTTTGGGCATTTAATAACCAGAATTTTGATAGATTCATTGTTATTTGTACCTTAAAGGTACCTAGATGCCATAGAGAGAGCACTGGCAGCAGGTGACGTGGTTCTGATAGAGAACTTGGAAGAAATGCTAGATCCTGTTCTTGGACCTCTGCTTGGCAGAGAAACCATCAAGAAGGGAAGGTAAGGCTCATGCTGAAAGGTGTCTTAATACTTGTAGCACTGAATGAAGCACTGTAAGGCACTGCTTCAGACAATGATCTAATTCAGGAAACTTTCTACTCATATGTAACACCGCAACAAGCACTTTCTTTTCACTGCCTTTTTAAATGATTGACACCACTCGACAAATTAAAAATAGACACTATAAATGTAAATCTTTGAGAAACTAGTGTTAGTTAAAGCCTAGCAGAACTTTCCAAATGAACCATTTTGCTACGTCTGTGGTTTCCACACAAAAACATTTTAAATACATTTAACTTCATTACATTCAATACATGAGCTCTATCAGTGATTACACTATATAACATTTCTTTTTAATGAAGATGGACAGTGGCATTTATTAACTTGGTAATGTGTTGGCAATGAAAGGATGTTGTTTGATGGAATTGATGGAAATGAAAACTATCAACTTACAGAGAGCTGAATTGAAGGACCTCCTGAAATCATGTAAAAATTATGCAGCAGGTCAAAATTTCACTGCAGC